TTGATTCAGAATTCTGCCCATGGCACACACAAAAAAAAAAGATTAATGGCGAGGGGCCATTCACTAAATGTAAAAATCAAGTAAGAATATTGTATTTAAGATAAATATATAAATACAGTATCTCACAAAAGTGAGTACACCCCTCACATTTTTGTAAATATTTTAGTATATATTTTCATAGGACAATACTGAAGGAATGACACTCTACTACAATTATTATTATTATTATTATTATGATATTCCGTCAAATTCCGCAGCGCTTTACAATGGGTGGACGAACAGACATGTATTTGTAACCAGACAAGCTGGACACACAGGAACAGAGGGGTTGAGGGCCCTGCTCAATGAGCTTACATGCTAGAGGGAGTGGGGTAAAATGACACAAAAAGGTAAGGATAGTATTAGACTAATGACAGTTGCAGAAGAGGAATCAGTCAGGAGCTATTAACAGTTTAATTGATAAGCTTTTATGAAGAAGTGGGTTTTTAACGATTTTTTGAAGGAGTGGAGACTGGGTGAGCATCTAACGGAGGAGGGAAGCAAGTTCCACAGGAACGGTGCAGCCCTCGAGAAATCTTGAAGGCGAGCATCAGAGGTGGGAGTACGGACAGAAGATAGACGTAAGTCTTCAGCAGATCGTAAGGGCCTAGACGGGATATACTTGTGTATAAGGGAGGATAGATAGGTGGGAGCAGCATTATGTAGAGATTTGAAAGCAAGAACCAGAATTTTAAATTGAGCTCTATATTTTATAGGAAGCCAATGTAGGGACTGACAGAAGGGTGAGGCATGGGAGGTGCGGGCGGACAGGAAGATGAGCCTCGCTGCCGTACTCATTATGGACTGTAACGGCGTTAGTTGGGAGCACGTGAGACCATTGAGAAGCGGATTACATTACTTTGGGGTACTCACTTTTGTTGCCAACAGTTTAAACATTAATGGCTGTGCGTTGAGTTATTTTGAGGGGACAGCAAATTTACACTGTTATACAGGTAATCCCTAAATCCTGGACTGTTAGGTGTACCTCGAGGAGAGGGTTAAGGAGCACTGCTCTACACGACACCTAAGGCATTATACACATACAGGGAGTGCAGAATTATTAGGCAAGTTGTATTTTTGAGGATTAATTTTATTATTGAACAACAACCATGTTCTCAATGAACCCAAAAAACTCATTAATATCAAAGCTGAATATTTTTGGAAGTAGTTTTTAGTTTGTTTTTAGTTATAGCTATGTTAGGGGGATATCTGTGTGTGCAGGTGACTATTACTGTGCATAATTATTAGGCAACTTAACAAAAAACAAATATATACCCATTTCAATTATTTATTATTACCAGTGAAACCAATATAACATCTCAACATTCACAAATATACATTTCTGACATTCAAAAACAAAACAAAAACAAATCAGTGACCAATATAGCCACCTTTCTTTGCAAGGACACTCAAAAGCCTGCCATCCATGGATTCTGTCAGTGTTTTGATCTGTTCACCATCAACATTGCGTGCAGCAGCAACCACAGCCTCCCAGACACTGTTCAGAGAGGTGTACTGTTTTCCCTCCTTGTAAATCTCACATTTGATGATGGACCACAGGTTCTCAATGGGGTTCAGATCAGGTGAACAAGGAGGCCATGTCATTAGATTTTCTTCTTTTATACCCTTTCTTGCCAGCCACGCTGTGGAGTACTTGGACGCGTGTGATGGAGCATTGTCCTGCATGAAAATCATGTTTTTCTTGAAGGATGCAGACTTCTTCCTGTACCACTGCTTGAAGAAGGTGTCTTCCAGGAACTGGCAGTAGGACTGGGAGTTGAGCTTGACTCCATCCTCAACCCGAAAAGGCCCCACAAGCTCATCTTTGATGATACCAGCCCAAACCAGTACTCCACCTCCACCTTGCTGGCGTCTGAGTCGGACTGGAGCTCTCTGCCCTTTACCAATCCAGCCACGGGCCCATCCATCTGGCCCATCAAGACTCACTCTCATTTCATCAGTCCATAAAACCTTAGAAAAATCAGTCTTGAGATATTTCTTGGCCCAGTCTTGACGTTTCAGCTTGTGTGTCTTGTTCAGTGGTGGTCGTCTTTCAGCCTTTCTTACCTTGGCCATGTCTCTGAGTATTGCACACCTTGTGCTTTTGGGCACTCCAGTGATGTTGCAGCTCTGAAATATGGCCAAACTGGTGGCAAGTGGCATCGTGGCAGCTGCACGCTTGACTTTTCTCAGTTCATGGGCAGTTATTTTGCGCCTTGGTTTTTCCACACGCTTCTTGCGACCCTGTTGACTATTTTGAATGAAACGCTTGATTGTTCGATGATCACGCTTCAGAAGCTTTGCAATTTTAAGAGTGCTGCATCCCTCTGCAAGATATCTCACTATTTTGACTTTTCTGAGCCTGTCAAGTCCTTCTTTTGACCCATTTTGCCAAAGGAAAGGAAGTTGCCTAATAATTATGCACACCTGATATAGGGTGTTGATGTCATTAGACCTCACCCCTTCTCATTACAGAGATGCACATCACCTAATATGCTTAATTGGTAGTAGGCTTTCGAGCCTATACAGCTTGGAGTAAGACAACATGCATAAAGAGGATGATGTGGTCAAAATACTCATTTGCCTAATAATTCTGCACTCCCTGTATATATATTAGCGAGGAAAATATAGTCAAGTGTAAAAGCTAGATGCTACGGGTAAAATACTAGATATTCCAATTGAAGTCCATAAGAGCAGTTCATGCAATATCTTCCAATAATTTCATTAGAATCTATTCCTGCTGTAAATGGCTATTAGTATTCAGGCTGATATCAATAGGGAATGCATTTTACATGTACTGCTACAGCATCAAGAACATGTTCTCCTATTAATTTTAATGGAAGGAATTTCTGGAACTATAACAATCTCAAATGTATCTATTTTAGCCACTTTTATTCTTTCTAGTAAACTCGTATTTTTCACTACATAAAGCATCAAATGATAGTGGTAAAATGCACCATGAAATCTCCATTTAATTATTCACCATCTCAATTTATGTTTTATAAACCAAATGAAATGGCCATTTGTTTTTTGTTTTCAGATAGACACCATTTTTGGGAATTAAACGTCATCAGTTTGCAAAAAAAAAACACATGGCAGTAAAAGCACAAGTGGCTTTGGTGCTCATTGAGACCCATTTAAAGGTTGTTAACACATAGTTAATATCACCCACTAGCAGCTAAGATTCAGTTCCAGAGGAACCTAACAGAAATTGACACAAAACCATGGAATTCATTGTCTGCCAAAAGCTGTGGACTGCTAAACATGGTAAGAAGGGAGTGCAGGAGTTAAGCAGGGACGACCATGGAGACTAACTGTCTGACCCAAGGTGTAGGTATATGGCTGAAGGATCCGTTCATGTACTAAAGGTAGGGATCGATTTTTCTTTTTTACATATAGTTCATATAAAAAAAAAAATCTATTTCCTTTCAAAACTTGATGAAAGGATTATTATGTTAAAAATAGTTTTGAGGTGACAGTTGTCCTTTAAATGCCTTTAAGATTGACACATCGCCTGCTCACTTTTGCAGCATATTTGACATTAAGTGTTCCACTTGTGAATGATTTATTGATCTGACCTGAGTTTACACTGTGTCAATCAGTGCCTTACAGTGACAGGGCTCCAGGTCTTTTAAGCACAAGATCCCAGAATTATAAATTAAAAATTCCAATTTTGTTTGTGTGTGTGTGTGTTTGTGTGGTGTGCATGTGTGTGTGAAGTTTGGTGTATTGCATGTTGCACTTCTCATTTTACTTCTGTCACTGATTCATCTCTCCTCAATCTGCTCTCCACACATGGATGATGCAATTTTCTCCCCATGTTTGTCTCTCACCCATTTCTCCCCTTAGCCTTGTCTGTCTCATTCCCCAAAACACCATTTGTCTTCTTCCCAAAGCATTTCCCTCTCCTTATCTGTTTCCCTCCCATTGCCCAGTCGACCCTACCAGAAGATGCCCCATAGTCTCCTCCGGTACCATTTGCTTTGTGTCCTGTAGGGGATCTGGATCTGTTTTCAAATGATTTCAGAGTCAATGTCAGAACAGCCAGGGTTGAGGGGATGCAGATTTCTATTCCACTTCTCTTAAAATCAAAGGAAACCACAGTGATTCTGTGTGCCATGGGAAGACCCACAGCTCTCAATGGTGCTGTCCTTTCATTTGGCAACATACATTTAAATCAAAAATAAAAATGTTGGACTTCTGTAATCTTAACTTAGGTAAGAGATAGAGTTTTTGTATTGTTTGCCTGCCAAGAATAACCACTACACGCCTCTCATCTTCAGGGGATTTCTGGCAATAGACTAGTTATTTTGGGACATCTGAAGGTCCCAGTGCAGCTCTGTAGCAATGGGTAATAACGATTGTTCTACCATGCTCTCCCAGTGATCAGAGACCCGAAGAAGCCACTGAGCACTTATTGCTTGAGGTCATCCATAGCAAATCCCAGGGACTTCCTTCCACCGTTATGGCATGGGTTAATAAACTACATAGAACCTTAGTCATGAGGAATCAAATAACACATAAACAAAGGAATGCAATAAAAATAACAAGTCTACTTGGTATTACATCATTATCAATCTATGCTATGCATCCTCGATAAGCAAGCCGCATAAAATAAAGAAAAACTAATGTTTAAAGGTCCTGCAGACCATGTAAACAACTTGATGTAGCTATCTGTTCAGTTCTGAATAATTTGTAATTGTTTGGAAGAAGAAAGACTAAATTGGATGTAAGATTTTGGTTTGTATCAAAGATTTAGCTTGTGTAGAAGCACACAGCTTGAATGTCAGATACAGTGACTTTGCTGTAATGAAGGATTGATTATTGCACAGAAGGCAGGACAAGAGACCGTTATGCCAAGAGACACTGAACTTAGGTCAATAAATGTACAAAGAAAGTCCTTAAAACACAGCAGCATGAATCAGATTATTTTTCATGATTCTGCAGTTGTCAATTGAACTGTAACGTTCTCCAAACCCTTTGCAATGGGGAGCGATCTTTGATATCATAGCTACATAAGCGTAAAAGGTTTGGAGATATGATGTTTAATTATTGCTTCTGAACTTTAAAAGGGATACGCCAAACACCATAACCACTACAATATTTTGTAGTAGTTACGGTACTAGGATGCAAACCCTGTAAGTTTACCTATCAAATTCACACTTTTTTCATTTTTTTCTGCTAATTGTCCAGTATGCATACTCCTCCCCATGTCCCTCTGCAGCAAAACTGATATTTCCCATTCAAAATACGTCAGCCTCCCAAGCAAAAATGTTTAAATATAATATAATTAATGAATTTGCATTACAATTAAAGGGACACTTCAGGCACCCAGACCACTTCTGCCTATTGGAGTGGTCTGGGTGCCAACTCCCACTACTCTTAACCCTGCAACTGTAATTATTGCAGTTTTTTATAAACTGCAATAATTACCTTGCAGGGTTAACTCCACCTCTAGTGGATGTCTTCTAGCCACTAGAGGGCACTTCCTGGTTCCTAGCACAGGAAACCTGTGCTACAGCGTCGCTGGATGTCCTCACGCTGTGTGAGGACCTCCAGCGTCGCTCATTTCCCCATAGGAAAGCATGGAAATGCATTTTTGATGCTTTCCTATGGGGAGCGCTAATGCGCATGCGCGGCATTGCCGCGCATGCGTATTAGGTCTCCCCGGCCGGTGGGTGGGATCAGTCTCGCCCACCGACCGACACAGTCAGTAGGAGGAGCGGCGCGGAGGGAGAAGCAGCGACGTGGGACAACGTTGCTGCCTCTGGTAAGTCACTGAAGGGGTTTTCACCCCTTCAGCAACCGGGGATTGGGGGGTGGGAGAAAGAGGGGACCTGCAGTGCCAGGAAAATTGATTGTTTTCCTGGCACTGGAGTTTCCCTTTAAGAATACTGAAGTGATGTAATCTAAGTTTAAACCATCAACGAGAAAGACATATATATAGAAATACAGGAGTTGGCAGCTAATCGGATACTCCTACTCGTTATTTAACATTTAGAATTTTTAGAAGTAACCGAAAATATCTCTATTTAGACACCTATTTTGCTGGGAGAACATTTTTGTCAAAAGCATAAAATGTAACATTCTCAACAGCTTCAAAATGACATACGTCAATCATGTGTTAAATATATATCAAATAATAAATTCAATTACCCTTTTTTATTATTATTATGTTATTATTTATATAGCGCCAACAAATTATTTTAAACTAATATGAAATATTTGAAAATAAAGGTTCATCGGATGTTAAAAATATACAACAAAACTGTAGTATTATTTAATAATTTTATTTATAAATAGGTACTTTAAGAGCCGTAACATTCGATACAGTAGTAAAATATCCATGAGTACCATTCGGATATGAAAAACATTGTTTATTTCAGAATAATGTTCCTTAATATGTAAGCAAAATATACATACATGTATTAAAGCCTTCGAGAATACAGTTTATACAGAATAATAGTACATGCACGCATATAGCTTCCTTATTCAATTAATAATTTCGTTTGGAAGAAAAAAAGTCTGTATAATTTTTCTGTGATGGCATGAGTCATTAGAATATAATAGATGCAGCATTTTTATAGAGAATACACAAATAATTATAGCTGTACGAAAAGCCTGTTTTATATAGTTTTCACAGACAAACGTGCTTTGGTTGCAATGCTTTAATTTAATTTATAATACACTAGGTATATAGTGATTAGAGCAGATATCAAACCTAACACATGGCTGAAACTTTGAGTGCAAACAGAGGAAGAAGGATACTTCTCCATTGTCTCAGGGTTCTTTTGGTAAATTTGATAACATACTGTCTATTACCAGCCAGAAACACGTATTGGAAGATAAGAGATCCAAAAAATATATCAAGAAGGTGGTGAGATACAAGCACAATCTTCTTTATGAAAATATTTTTAGTATAGCATTTTGGTCACTTGTATTTTTATAAATGAAGCGTCCCCAAGCAGGGCAAATCGAAGATCGGAGGAGAAGCAAAAAAATGAACCAGAGGTGTCTGTTGATGAAGAGTACCACCCATGGAGTTGTAAAGATGGTGGCACTGGAATGGAGGTGAGATGAGTATATTTTGGTATTTTACTTTGAATAGATGATGTAGTTTTGAGAAAAGATGTATTTAATGTATATATGGGTAATTTGAGTTTAACATTAACAAATTACTTTAAGGAATCAGTTTCAAACTGCTGACACTTCAGGTAATCAAAACGTATCTACCCCTGCACTTACTGACCACCGCACTTCAATATCTATCAACCTTAACTCTCATCTGACACATTGTTGTCTTGATTTCCTTTAGCCCAGTTCCTTCAAGATTGCAAGCTTATTTGAGCAAGGTCTTCTTCGCCTTATGTCTGACAATATTATTTCTTTGGCTGCTAGTAATTACTTCTTGTTAATTAACTGTATAATTGTAAAGCATAGTCTTGGCACTATGTCTTTATCACTATGCTAGTAATAAATGAATAGATGAGCACAAATTGCTATTTTACTTAGCTGAGATTTCTCACCTTATAAGATAGTCCTTAATTCTTACGTATCCTCTAACCCAGGGATAGGCAACCTTCAGCACTCCAGACGTCATGGACTGCATCCCTCATAATGCTCTTACACCCATAATGCTGGCAAAGCATCATTGGAGGTGTAGTCCAAAACATCTGGAGTGCCGAAGGCCTGCTCTAACCCAAGCCCCCCTAGCGCTAAGCAAATCCAAAATAAATCCCTTTCAATTATATCTTTGTGTGCGTTTTATGTGCTGCATTTTCGTTACGTCACCTTAATTCTCAGGAACTTTTAAAACAATTAGACGGTCACACATTAAGGCGCTCATTAACAATATTTTAACAATAGCAGCTTAATGCCTAGAAGTTAAATATTCTGCTAAAAAAAATTCCATTTCTAAAATTAAAATGTTTAATCATGAAATAAAGTAGGCAAGTAATTATAAAAAATATCATTAACATCAGAGCAAGCACATAAAGGAAGCACAAGTGGTGGAAGTTCAAGGAAAGTGTATTATTTTGCCCACGAGTTCAACCGTAAGTGGTTTGCACAGTGCTATTTAATCCGATACACATCACTATGTACCATAGGCGTTATGGAAATTACATTGGCAATAGCATTTGAAAGATAAAATTTGTTCATATGAATCTTTAGATATTTTGCCGTTTTAAAGACATGTAAAATTATGCTTGCCTTGGAATTTTACCCCGCATTGAGATGAGCAATCCTCAAACCTAATGAGTGATGAAGTTTTGTTAGCATGTAACATTTTTACCTTTAAGATTTTAAAAGGGATACTGCAGAAAATATAATCATGTTTGACGTTTACAGCGTGTACATTTAATGATTCAAATAGATGCTAATATTTAAACAGATCATTGCTAGAATATATTGATTTTTTTCTTTTCCAGGTAGTTAATGTGCTGACATTATACGGTCATGAAAGATACATTTCACTGCAGTCCAGTAGGGCACTAAGGGGAAAGATGGGGGTGGTCCACCACCAAGGGCACAGGCAGCAGCGGGGAGCACAGAGTAGCCCCCTCCCACCACATGTGTGTTGGATAGCACATGGTCGATTTCTGCTCTGCCATTGTGCTGTGGGTGCTCGCGGTGCTGGCCTCCTGGGTTTTGCTTGCACTAAAAATCAGTACAGATAAACTGATCCTAGCAGCACCTTGCTGGACACTAGGGACAAGGATCTGCTCCAATTCTACCTGTCAAGGTAAGTAGAGGGATGCTGCATGGATACATTACTGGGAGTAGTATTGCTGAGACACTGAGACACACCAACAATATGGAGCTCCTAGAAAACAGGGACAGGGGGTTTGGGCCCAAAATAGGGACTTTCTCTCCTAAATCGGGACACATGAGAGGAATGTGTCTGTAAATGAGTCAGTGTGTGTGTTTATATGTGAGTTTATGTGCCCCAGGTGCCATGTATCCAAGGTACGTCTCTACTGCAGTCATCTTCCATTCAAGACACAGTTGAAGTTTAAATTTTTCAGGAAAGCAACATTTCTTACAGTAGTAAAAGGTAAAAAATAAGATTTGAGATACAACGGGAAGTAAAAATGGAACTTACTGTAAAACAAAAATTAGGCTCGAAATATTATAAGAAATAGATCACATACATATTTTCTGACCATTTATTGATCATACATCAAAAAATAAAAGTAGAAATTGCATGACATCAGCTTGTACTATAGTTAACTTACTGCATATTATCAGAGTTCTAAAACATTCCGTAAATCTGTACATATCTATCTAAATTATACTGATGAGAAAGATACGTGACTGCATTTTACCTATACCTGGCAGCCATTTGTGTCTATGGGTCATTTTCTCGCACTTCGATGGAATAAAGATTTTTACATCACTAATGTTTTCTACTATATTACATGTTTTGTATCACAGCGATTTGACACTATATGGAGCTGTTTGAATGTTTGTTTTTCCCAGGAGATATAAACCGTAACATCACTGAAAGCACTGTGCAGTCGTAAACATATAACTTAAGGCTAAACCATACTACTTACACAAAATACGATTATACACTATGATCACAGAATCCCTTTATGTAATTCATGCAAAAAGTAATCTGTACTTCATCTGATGGTACCACTTACACTAAAATTACTGGAGAATATCTTGCTCTACTGAGATATGCTATCGATAAACTCTGGCATTTGATGTATGTACAGCATAAGCACAGGTGACTCACAAAAGTGATCCGGCAGCAGTAATTCACTAGTTGTCTTGGATTTGCAAGTAATTTTATTTTTAATATTTACATGAATTTATACGTGTGGTCACAGGAGTTTAAGGACAATTTGAAATGAGATATAAAGCAAGAATTTCTTACAAAGTATGGTCCTTTGTGTATGCCGACCACGTTTTTTTGTTTTTTTTGTGTAGATCAATTTAGTGAGTTCTTGAGTCTGCTGAAGACTAGCCAGAGTAATTTAATATGTTTTTCCGTGTGAAGTGTGATTGACAGTGATACAAGTTATAGTCCACTGCTTCTTGAAACCTTCAGTCCCCTTCAACCTTAAGCCTTCCTAATTGTAAACTCTCCCTAAGCTCCCTAACTACTCCTAATCCTAAATTGCAGGTCCACAGCTATACCTGTGCCATTTTAACAACAGATACAACAATGTATCCAGTGCTGGAATAATGCCCATTTTTGTTGAAGTGTGCTATAATGTTGTAAAATTTCTTAATGTCACCAACTTTTCAAATTCAACATTTTTAAAGGGATTCCTATATTATATGGTTGGACTATTTCCAGGGGCTACAAATCAGTATGCTGCTCCTAATTCATTTTTAATGTCAAATATACAAATAGCTTATTTAAACAAAGTCCTTCCCAGGTTATTTGATTATTCACTTGGATGCGTCTGGTATCACATTGCTAAATGCATCAGTACTTTATAAATAAATATCATTCACATGAGGTTGATTTACAATCTCTACAGAACATTCAAGTGTACTTTTTGAGCCACTTTTCAGTTACTATCATTGTGAACATCACCATATGTACCTTGCAATGTTGGCTTTGCAGTACAGCAAGATTAAATGTGTCATTACAATATACAGTACATTATCATAATGGGTTATGTACTTAAATATAGACATGGCACCTAAAATACAGCAAATATAAAGTGCAATATAATATATAACATAACTTGTTAAATAACGCACAGCCAATAACATCTAAATCTGTTAATCGGATGCAGATTTACAATGTTATACAGTTATATAAGTAAGTGCCAACCTCAGGCTAATAAGTGTCATACATTCATATGTCTTCAAAAATGTATATTTGTTTCTCATTTCATACATTACTCTGTAGTTAACCATGAATCATTTTAAAACTGCGGTGGAAAACAAGCACTCTCTCCTGCCCTTAATTTAGCAACCAATAAGTAACATGCTTGGATTTTTACAAATTCAGGGCTAGAGAGAGGAGTGTACGTGTAGATATGCACGTTATACTACAAGAATGGCTACCCTCAGCCTTGCAAAAACATCAATAAATCGAAAAATGTACCATTTTATTTTAAGAGGAAATAAATATTTAAATATTTCTGCCTTGATTACATAATACCGGACACGTGACGGAAATATTCCGTCATGATTCCCTTTTATTTCTGAAGTTGTGTCGTTAAGGGGTTAATAAACGGCAGTTTAGTATTGTATGAATAAATATTTATTTTATTGTATAAATAATTATATTATGTGTTAGCATGCATTACCTTGTAGGGTAGGAAACAGGCCTTTTACCTATTGAAGTACTAGTTACATTTTTGGCTTCATTATTTCTGTCAACTTATAACATCACAATATGCCTGCTCGAGGGGTTTAATAAGTTAAAAAATAGCATGCGTTTTAATGTTTCTTGCATACTGGCAAGCTGCGATATGTTGTTGTATAGTGTAAGGAAATCTGACAAATTAACAACAAAACATTATGGCTTACTGACTAGTATCAAATCATGCCATTTCTCTCCCCTTCCATTGAGCTGTGGGAAGATGACTTTCTAATCAGGTGCTCTTTTTCTTGAATCAGGCTGTCCAACAGGTCCTCCTGTCTATAATTGTGGTACACCTTAAGGAACGTTAGTATTGTGATACCGAGCCAAGTAAGCCAGGCTGCCCAAAGACCAAACTGAAAAATAGATTGAGAGAACAATTGAGAATATTGTTACTCAGTATATTCCAAGGAAACTTTCAATAAGGCAATAGTGAATAAAAACAACAAGTAGAAAATTATTGGCACATGTCGAGGGAGCACGGTCACATAAAATCACACATAATGGTTATCCTAACCCCCTAATTCTTTGCACATATTTCATTAGATCTGCCTAGATATTCAAAATATTATACACCAATAGTCTAAACAACTGTTATCTATCATTTTATATACACCACATAATGAAGTCCAAAAAACAAATATGGTACTTAAAGGACCACTCTAGGCACCCAGACCACTTCAGCTTAATGAAGTGGTCTGGGTGCCAGGTCCCTCTAGGATTAAATCCTTTTTTTTATAAACATAGCAGTTTCAGAGAAACTGCTATGTTTATAAATGGGTTAATCCAGCCTCTAAAGCCTCTAGTGGCTGTCTCATTGACAGCCGCTAGAGGCGCTTGCGTGCTTCTCACTGTGAAAATCACAGTGAGAACACACAAGCGTCCATAGGAAAGCATTGTAAATGCTTTCCTATGAGACCGGCTGAATGCGCGCACAGCTCCTGCCGTGCATGCGCATTCAGCCAAAGAGGAGGAGAGGAGGCGGAGAGGAGGAGGAGAGCTCTCCGCCCGGCGCTGGAAAAAAGGTAAGTTTAACCCCTTTCCTCAACATCCAGCCCGGCAGGAGGGGGACCCTGAGGGTGAGGGCACCCTTAGGGCACTATAGTGCCAGGAAAACGAGTATGTTTTCCTGGCACTATAGTGGTCCTTTAACAGTAGAATATGAATGGTGGAAATGTAATCTAGACCAATATAGTAACATTGTGTTTGTAAGCCACCAGTTCTGCAGAACTGACGTATATATTTTGTAATCTGTTTAAAAATCTGACGTATATATTTTGTAATCTATTTAAAAAAAAATAGATGTGCCCAGGCATACATAATACAAGATAGGCCCTTACCTGCATGTATTTACCCATTTTAAATAGCCCATAATTTGGATGAATGTGAATATCATCATTTATCTTTCTAGATAAAGTTCATTACATGCTTTCGATTTACTTTTAAAGTTTGCAATGAAAATAAAAGTGTTCAAAAGTGGAAGGGGATAGACACAAGAATATAGTATGAAAAATATTGAAGAATAATCTGTGTGTATATATGTGTGTGTATTTTTTATGTTTTTGTTAGTTAGTTTGTGGGAATAGAAATAAAGATTTAACCACAGTATTTATAAAGAATAGAATCAATTAAAAATAAGTAATATATGACACTACACACAACTAAAGGAAACAAAAGAGGCAGCACTTGTATAAAATTCTAAAAGAGGCTAGATTAGACCACAAAAGAGAAAAGAAAAGTAGAAGGAGATAGACAAAAGGATATAGTATGAGAAGTATTGAAGAGTAATCTGTATATTTATTTATTTGTTTGTTTATTTTTTCTGGAAGCCCAAGTACTAAATAGAGAAGTTAGCAGAAAAAAGATAGGCAATATCAATAAATGAAAGCATAAAAGGAATTATAAAAATAAAAATAAAGTAAACAATAAAGTTACAAAGTTACAGAAATTATCCCCACCTCCACAACGTCCAAATTACTCCGCCCAGGAGTTCTTAGTAGAACTTAGAGATTGCCTAGAAGTAGGCATCTTAAGCTGATGTGAGTGAAGATCTCTGAAATATAGAGATCTTAGTAGAAGAATGTAGAATGGATGAGTATATAGGAAGTGTGAATGAATTAGGTACAGTGGTGGATATCATTGTGGTTAAGGATAACAGCAGAGGAAGTAAGAGAGGTTGGATTATTAGACACTGAATGGTGAAATTAATCTCAATTAACATCCAGGGCCTAAATAAGTCTCATAAAAAATGAGCATTTAACGATTATTTAGTAGCTGAGAAAATACAAGTGGCCCTAATACAGGAGACACATTGGACCCTTAAAGATAAAACCAGCTGGTGTGAAAGATTTTTTCCATTAGTAATTAGCGCTTCTAAAAAAGAAGAAAAAACAGCAGGAGTGGCAATTATGTCTTCAAAACACATACAAGTAGAAATACAACAACATCAGGATAGCGATACAGAGGGAAGGTTTTTAATTTTAGTTTGCACAATTAACGGTGATCTTTACACATTAGTAAACGTATATCTGCCCAATATCAACCCGATGAAATTCTTTTCTCAAGTTCTAGAACAAGTAGAAAAAATTGCCATGGGCTATATATTATTCGGGGAGGATTTCAACTGTGTTTTAGACATAGCAATGGATAAATGTAGGAAAAATAATACAAGTATAGATTTAAAAAAAAGGCATAAGGAACACTAGAACCTTTTACAATATTATTAAAAAAAAAAAAACCTTTATGATAGTTGGAGAATAAGAAACCCTACAAACAAAGAATATACCTTTTACTCATGGCCCCACAAAACTTATTCAAGAATAGAATTTTTTTTCTAGGAGACTCAAGCATAATAGAAAAAGTAGAACAGATAGAGATTAAAACAATGATCTGGTCAGATCATAATAGTATCATATTGAAACTAAAAGAAGGGAAGATCATCCATCCCAGGACAACCTGGAAATTAGATGAGTCAATCCTATACAATAAAGAAAATCAAGAACTTTTGAGAAAAGTCTCAGAATATTTTTTTGCAGAAAATAGTCCCTTAGAGTCGTCAGATCTAACATCAGGTGAGCATACAAGGCAACTATTAGAGGGCATTGTATAAAGATTTAAAAAAAAATTAAAAAAACAGAAAGATTGGGGTTATCTAAGTTATATATTCAATTATATCAAATTACCAAAGAATATAGGGCAAATCCAGATAAGGAAGGTCAAATAAAAATAGGAAAAATTAAACAGACTATCAAAAATAGAATATTAGAAAATATAGAAAAAAAATGTTTAAATTAAAAACTAAGTACTATTATCGACAAAACAGGGTGGCTAAAATTCTATCAAATCAACTAAAAAAAAAAAAAAAGCAGATAACAGAATCAATAAAATTATATATGAAGGAAAAACATGTAGAGCACCAAAGGAAATAGGAGAAGCCTTTAACATTTTTACACTTCTCTCTACCTAAAAACAATTCAGGTGAGATAATAGATAACTATATTAAATATCTACAGAACAATCTACAGAACAAAGAGAAAAATTAAACAAAGACATTACAAAAGAGGAAGTATTGGAACAAATAAACAAATTAGTATACTTTAAAACCCCAGGACCAGACGGTTTTAGCAATAGGTTCTATAAAGTAATGAAGGATATAGTAGCAGATCCATTAACTAGGACTTTTAACGACGCTATAAAAATAAAAAGGGCATTTCCACAAGAAATGTTGAAGGCAAACATCTTGCCAATATTAAAACCCGGGAAAACAGCAACGGAAGTGAAAAATTACAGACCGATTTCCTTAATAAATGTAGACGTCAAGCTGTTTGCATCAATTATTGCCAAGAGATTAAAAACAATACTGCCTGAAATCAACCCAGATCAATGTGGATTCATTCAGGAAATAATGTGAGGAGGCTGATAGATGCAATGGATTTGTCGGACAGAAATAATGATCCCCTGCTGATCCTGTCTCTAGACGCAGAGAAAGCGTTTGACAGGGTCAGCTGGGGATTCATGTTTAAGGCCTTGGAAGCATTCAATATCTCGGGGTGGATGTTGGATGCGATAGGCGCTTTGTATGCTAATCCATCAGCAAGATCTATAGGCCAAACTATATGTTCCACCTGGTTTGGATTAGAAAACAGAACGAGGCAGGGATGTCCCCTGTCTCCAATCCTGTAAATCATTACAGTAGAAATTTTTGCTTTAAAAATAAGACAAAATCAGTTAATAAAGGGCCTTAACACATCTAATGGAGACGTAAAAATATCACTATATGCAGATGACACCCTTCTATATGTTAAAGACTTAGAAAATTAACTTCCTCAATTAATGGCAGAAATCAAATTATACAGTAATATATCAAACTATAAATTAAATATGACAAAATCGATTGCAATGTACAAAAATGTAGAATTAAGTAAAATAATTGAATACCAAAACAATTAGCTTCTCTCAACCAGAAGAATTTGTATATCTAGGGATTAGAATAAATAAACATATAAATAGATTAATGGAAACAAATTTCTTACACCTCTTAAAAAATACCAAAAAAGATTTAAAGGAATGGCGCCAAGCAGAAATATCATGGTGGGGGAGAGTCAACACCCTAAGAGCCTATTTCCTTCATAAATGGATATACTTGTTTAGGATGTTGCCGTTAACAATTCCTATCCCATGGCTAAAAATGATTAAATCAGCATTTGCTAATTTTGTATGGAGAGGCAAAAAGCCCAGGATAAAAATAGATACGCTAAGTAAACATATAAGTAAAGGTGGGCTAAGCTATCCGAATATAGAAAAATACTACGAGGCGGGGATAATCTCACATTTAGCAATATTGCAGAAAGAAGCTACATATAAAGAGGGTTGGTTCTGGTTAGAATCCGAAATATGTCAAACTAAGAAATTAGCTAATATAGTATGGAATAACAAAATATGTGAATACTCTGCCTCTTATGTGTTAAATCATTTAGTTCCCATTTGGGAAAAGATAAAAAAGAAATTAAAAATAAGATTTTTGGTTTCCAAAATATAAAACACATTGAAAGAGAAATACCTAATATTTCTCTAAAAAAATGGAAAGAATATATTATAAAGGTAGAAGATATATATTTGAATAATAAGGTAAAACCCTCTAATACATTGAGAAGTGAAGCGTCTCTCTAACCTCAAGAAGCCTTTTCATATTTAAGAGTGAATAGCTATTTAAAAAAGTATAATTTTATGAATCAAGGAGACATGTATAATGCAATCAAAACTATATTTGATAATAGTGAAACAAAAAACTATTCTCAAAGAGTTACAAATTATTAGATACTAGGGTAACAGAAAATTATCCAACAGCAATAAAAAGCTGGGAGAAACTACTACATATTAACATAGATATAGAAAAATGGTACGAGATATTAATTAAGGCAAATAAATACGTGCACAGTATACACCTAATGGAAATCCATTATAAGGTGATAAATAAATGGTACTTAGTACCTTCTAGAATGTCTAGAATATTAGTAGATAACGATCACCTATGTTGGAGATGCGGAGAATCAAGAGGGGACTATCTTCACATATGATGGAATTGTAAAATAGTGACCCCCTTGTGGAATTGGTGAGAACTTTGTTATTCAAACTAGATAATATTAAAATAGAGACTAGCCCAGATATGATGCAGTTACATTTAAGATGGCCTACTTTAAACAAAGGAAAACAAATATTGGTACTACACTGCTTGATAGCGACGAAACTAATTATAGCCAGAAACTGGAAAAAGACACAGGAATTTTCTAAAGTGATGTTCATCCAACAAGTAAAATTTCAGATACGAATGGAAATAGGTGTAAATAGAATTAGAAGTAATTATAGAGATAATGATATTTTGATTAACTGGTTAAAATTGCTGGAACAAGAAGAGAAGGATCTAACACAAGAAATAATATAAACTAGCCATTATATACTTCCCGACTGTAAAATAAGAGATAAGATTAATGAGATATCACTACTGTACCAAGAAAACGTATGACTGACTGATGAATGAATGTGGATTGAGAAATGTATTCCCTATAAATTAAGGTGTTAACCCCACCTTTATTCATTTTATTGGCTGAGATACAGACTCTCACAGGATTGAATTAAAGAATGTTAAGAACCAGATGATAATTTAAAAAATATAGGTTAAATTAGGATTAAGGAGACAGGAGGAGTTAATACACTATTGATGATGACTCTCTGCCAAAGCCTTAAACAATGAAGTATCTGAAAAATATTTTGGCTGGTACTGTCTGAAATGGGAGAAAAAAATAAATAAATAAATAAATAATACAGATAGTAATTATAAATAATTTAGCTATGTTTTAGGTTGTTGAAATTGTCAATTTCAAATAATGAAATGGTCTTTCTCCTGTTTTCAATATATTTCTCTCATTAAAAAAAAACCAAATTAAACTAATACAGTTTACAATTCAGAAACCTTGGGCAGTAAAGTCAAATTATCATTTTCAGGTTTACAACCCTTTTAACATTTCTTTTCTCATATCAGTATAATTGTTTTTGAGAATGACTTCTAATTTAAAGTGAACAGATCCATGATTTGTGGCCATTTATCTCTCTACTGACCTCTCAATCACCATTTAACTTCTCATTTTTTGTTAATCTATTCTATGTCCATTATATAATATCTATGAGCTGGGTAGTTCAAGACAGTTAAAGACATTCCAGATATAGATAACTCCAGCCAGCGCACTGCGGAACGGTCAACGGCTACCATGAAACTATACTTCAGGGAATCTCTGGTAAAATGGCAGACTTATGGACCTTTTTAAGACATGCGGTTGTTCACTTGTGTGTACTTTCTCCTTAATGTCCATATCATGAAGGAGGGATTTTATCACCCTATCCTCATCATAAGTAAAATGAACGACCATTTAACTGGAGAAATCAAAGTCATTTGAAAAGAGTAGTGTAACAAAGTGCTATTCTCAAAGGATAACTTTGGAAATCCATGAATGGGGCTCATGGAAAATCAATGGTGTGTCCTTTACGCTTCCCATTTGCATTTAAATTGTGTAATTGGGATGTAGCGTCAAACAATATTTCACAAGGTCAGAATCCTCGCCTATCAATCACTTTTAAAGGACAAATGTAACAATCTATATATTTCAAGTACATTTAATTTTACATATGATGTCTGAGTTTATGGATATTCATCAAGGTTTTAGACCTAAACTAATAAAGATGTTCGAATTATAGGAACGTTGAACAGGATGATGAACGTTAACACGGTTATCACTATATAATAAACAAAATCACGTAAACAAGATTTACCTGTGCAATGGCAAACTGATCATAGAAGGATGCATTTTCCAAATTAAGTTCCAGATCTTTAGCCTGTAGCTCTTCGCAGCTTAGAATATATAAAAAATAACATTATTAAGATTGCAGTTTCCAAAACCTTGGGCAGAAGAGGTTTTGCATGTTCTATTTTCAACTTTCATATATGTGTGTGTCATATCAGTCAGTGAAATATGATTCACATTTTCTTATGTTACTGCATCCTAATTATTTCTAAATGATTATTTGAGGAGTCAGACAATTCTTATTCCACAAAAATAAACTAAAGAAATCAATTGATAAGGTACCCTGGAGAATTCCAACAACACCGTGCTGGAAACATTGATGACTGGTTAGTTTTCACTGCGATTTATATTTATAATTTAATAAATTATATTTAGGTAATAAATATATAAATATAGTTATGTTTTACTTTTCTCTCTCTACTGCTTACTTCTTAACACCTGTAATCCAAGTCACAAACAAAAAAAGTCACAAGGACGAATCCCGAATCAACTGAACCAATTATTATTTATATTTTTCAGACGAAATAACATTTTCTGATGTGCACAAGTCTAACGTGTGTATATATATGCACGTTTACAAACACAAACATTATTTGTATTATAGAGCAGAAAAGAACAATTTGTTAGTGCAATCTAGTTTTGACTATGCAGCGATTTTGGAGTTTGTAGTTCTACACCAGTTAAGCAGATCTGGCATTAACCCTTCCCATGCTGGAGAGAGAAATAGTCTACTAACCTGTTAGGCATAGTTCCTTTCTCTGTGATTGCTTCACACCACATGTTAAATCCAACACTGACTATGGTGCTTGCAATAAAGATGACAAATACTACGAAGGAACTGATCAGCAGATTCACAAAGGCGTAAAAGAATGAGCTGCAACAAAATGGAAGACAATCGAACTAATTAGAAACTAAAACATCATGTCAGCAGATGTTCTAGACGAGTACATACAACAAAGTTCAACAGTCTCCAATGACAATTTCTGTAATTAATACCACCAAGGAAAAGTGAGAGGACCTGAGATTATTCTTCAATCTCATTATCGTTGTCACTTAAATCGTGTTTTTTTGCTTGTTTTTAAAATGACATTTTTAATCATAAATTATAAACTGTCTGACAACTATTCTACACATTACACAATCATTAACAATCAATCTGATGAATGCAACGTGATTTGAGTGGTTTAACTTCTATTTAATTTTGGGGGGGGGTTTCAATGTAAGATGCAGCTTATCATGGGGGACTTTAACATCTTTAAGAGGACTTCTTTAATATATTTATATCCTTTAGAGACATCATTTAAAAGGAGAGCACTCAAATTCCACTTAGTGTGCATTGAGAGAGAGAACAAATTTAAATGTAATGCATTCTCCACGATAACCAGAATTATTAACTGCACAGACTGAAGTTCATCTTTACAGGTTTCCACCACAAATTATTATTTTTTTTAGGGACATAAGCACGTGGGTCATGACATATTGAGAAGTGGGTTAAACATTTAGAGAAAAAAATAAATACATTTAAAAAAATAAAGATTTTCCTGCCAGGGACCTCTTATGTCAAAATAAAATCAATATAAAGTTATTTAAAGTTCTTACAAAAATAGGATTAGTAAAAATGAGTAAAGACATTACAATATAATCAGACATTACAAATATAATCAAAAGAAGCAAAGAGGTCATGGGGAAGGGGTGAAACGAAAGACTAAAGGCCAAGGAAATATGTAGAAAATAATGGAAATGAATTTGATATACTCAAGGAAACTGCCGGAGAAAATATATTAAGTTATAAATTATATGATTTCAACAAAGAAACATCCTGTCATCTAAATAGGTTCTAAAGAGGTCAACTAGATGCAATGATATGAGGCACCATTTCCACTGGTCATAAAGCAGTAGATATCTAATCAGTAATAGGTGGTGCTAAATTTGGCAATGCCCAAAAACACGGTTTCCAATGGACAGCCCAAACCTGGACCTATTTCGTGCACAAAGTTCATAGTAAAAAATGTTCAACTTTATTTGAATGCTTGAACTTTTCCAATGTACGCAACAACAAGAGAAATCAAGAGGAAGTGAGCGTTAATATGACTTGGAAATTAGATCAGCTATCCAAAAACCTCTGCTCCAAATTTCTCAAAGGAATCCACGTTATGTGACTTATGCATGCACACTGTGGGCACGAGTAGCAAATACTTTCATTCAAATAAATTCATTGGTAATTACCAATGGCTTACAGTAGGCTGTTCTGATTTTGTATTTCAGTTTGCTCGGTTTATAATCAGTGTGAGAACAAATTTTATTTTTTATTTTGTTTTTGCATATATATATATATACACACACACACACACACACACACACACACACGTATATAAAATCTGATCTGTGACATGAAGGGATTTATTTACTAAACACTAAATTGTGCCAAATTGAAATCTGAACAGCAATATTTATGTAAAAGCTGATTTGGAGTAAAAAAAATCTTCAACTCATATATAGTCACAGCTTGGAATATTTTAATTTATAATTTGCAATCTGGTTAACAGTTCACCAAAATTTTTTGTGTAGTTAATAAACCTCAATAAGGTGAAAAGGAAATTTGTTTAACACAAAGGTGGTCAAAGGCAGAGCTGAAGATGTTGTAGAACTACACTCCCCATAATACTTTGCTAGCCTTATAGTAGCATAACATAATAAAAGTTATAAGTTCCCACCACTCTAGGTTTAACACTAGTTTAGGATAAACAAATGTGTAAGATATTGCTTAAGTCTGCACACAACTGGTCAGATACACAAACCCTTAAAGGGTCTAGGCTCACCCTGACATCTTCTCTATTCTGCCATTGCCAAGGGGTATAGCTAGCTGTCAATCAGTCCTAAAATGTAGACATACACCCCTTTGACTGAAATGTATCAGTCAGCACCAAGGCCAGCTAAGTGCTGAATCTCTGACTGTATTGCAGTCAGATTACTTATGCAAGTTAGTATCATTACCATTTAGAATAAATTATAAAATATATCAATAAAATTATTATAAGTGAATCAGACACTGATCTACAAGAGTTTTCATTGACTAATATAAAATAATTAACTCTTGCAGATAAATAAAATGTCACTTGTTTTAGATGGGTTAAAATTATACGTGGAACTTATTTAAGCCAGAATAGAAAATCTACACAAGCTGTAACTCTTAGAAAAATAAGGAATGCCCCTGTAATATGGGTCACTTGGCAATTATGCTTACACATATAGGAATTAATTTCCCAACACTACAACAGCAGTAACCTCTCCTATAAATTGGTAGAGTTGGTAAGTACAGGTCATAGGTATTGTTGTGTATATAATGCACTAGGATATAGAATGTAAAATGAGGGACTGTCTCTATACATTGGGAATGTTGGTAGGTGTGGGTGTGTATATAATGCACTAGGATATAGAATGTAAATTGAAGGACTGTTTCTATACATTGGGAGTGTTGGTAGGTATGGGATGTGTATATAATGCACCTGGATATAGAATGTAAAATGAGGGACTGTTTCTATACATTGGGAGTATTGGTAGGTATGGATGTGTATATAATGCACTAGGATATAGAACGTAAAATGAGGGACTGTGTTTATACATTTGGAGTGTTGGTAGGTATGGGATGTGTATATAATGCACCTGGATATAGAATGTAAAATGAGAGACTGTGTCTATACACTGGTAGTGTTGGTAGGTATGGGTGTGTATATAATGCACCTGGATATAGAATGTAAAATGAGCGACTGTGTCTATACATTTGGAGTGTTGGTAGGTATGGGATGTGTAGATAATGCACCTGGATATAGAATGTAAAATGAGGGATTGATTCTATACATTTGGAGTGTTGGTAGTTATGTGATATAGATCACCTGTATATGGAATGTAAAATGATGGGCTATTTCTATACATTGGGAGTGTTGGTAGCTTATGAGATATAATGCATGTGGATATAGAATGTAAAATGAGGGGCTGTTTCTATACATTGGGGTGATGGTAGATATGTGACATACAATGTAACAGGTGATATGTGACATACAATGTAAATGTGTAGCAGGCTCTTTGTATCAATGTATCACGGTAGCAGGTAACAATGTAACAGCAGGTGATATGTTTCAATGTATCTCTGTATCAGGTGACAATTAATGCATCTCTGTAGTATGTGACAGGTGACTCACAGTGTATAAGCAGGTGATATGCTACAATGTATCTCTGTAGCAGGCTCTATGTATCAATGTATTGCTGTATCAGGTGGCATACAATGTCACACTGTAGCAGGTGGTATACCATGCAACGTATCACTGTAGCAGGTGACTCACAATGTATCAGCAGGTGATATGTTACAATGTATTAAGCAGGATCACTATGTCATTGTAGCAGTTAACGTACAATGTATCACTGTAGCAGATGATGGGTGACATACAGTGTATCAGGTGATAGGTGACATAATGTGTAGCAGGCTCTACGTATCATAGTAACTGGTGATCTTTGTATCACTGTAACACAGTCTATGTATCATAGTAACTGGTGATATTTTGTATCATAGTAACTGGTGATATTTTGTATCATAGTAACTGGTGATATTTTGTATCGCAGTAACTGGTGATATTTTGTATCATAGTAGCTGGCGATATTTTGTATCACAGTAGCTGGTGATATTTTGTATCATAGTAACTGGTGATATTTTGTATCATAGTAACTGGTGATATTTTGTATCACAGTAGCTGGTGATATTTTGTATCGCAGTAACTGGTGATATTTTGTATCACAGTAACTGGTGATATTTTGTATCATAGTAGCTGGTGATATTTTGTATCGCAGTAACTGGTGATATTGTGTATCATAGTAGCTGGTGATATTTTGTATCATAGTAACTGGTGATATTTTGTATCATAGTAACTGGTGATATTTTGTATCACAGTAACTGGTGATATTTTGTATCACAGTAACTGGTGATATTTTGTATCATAGTAACTGGTGATATTTTGTATCACAGTAGCTGGTGATATTTTGTATCACAGTAGCTGGTGATATTTTGTATCGCAGTAGCTGGTGATATTTTGTATCATAGTAGCTGGTGATATATTGTATCACAGTAGCTGGTGATATATTGTATCACAGTAGCTGGTGATATATTGTATCATAGTAGCTGGTGATATATTGTATCACAGTAACTGGTGATATATTGTATCACAGTAGCTGGCGATATTTTGTATCATAGTAACTGGTGATATTTTGTATCATAGTAACTGGTGATATATTGTATCACAGTAGCTGGTGATATTTTGTATCATAGTAGCTGGTGATATATTGTATCACAGTAGCTGGCGATATTTTGTATCATAGTAGCTGGTGATATTTTGTATCATAGTAACTGGTGATATTTTGTATCATAGTAACTGGTGATATTTTGTATCATAGTAGCTGGTGATATTTTGTATCACAGTAGCTGGTGATATTTTGTATCACAGTAGCTGGTGATATTTTGTATCACAGTAGCTGGTGATATTTTGTATCACAGTAGCTGGTGATATTTTGTATCATAGTAGCTGGTGATATTTTGTATCACAGTAACTGGTGATATTTTGTATCACTGTCATACTCACTCCTCATGGCCCTTGCACAGGTAGAAGACGCTCCTCCAAGCCTGCACCGCGCAGACCAGCAGGGAGAGCAGGCCGGTGAACACGCTGAACCTGCAGGCAGACTCCGGCCCCCACTCCTCCACCGCGAAGTGCTCCCTCTCCTGAGTGGCGTTCACACTGAGCCACACTCCCTGGGTGAAGAGCAGGCATTTCCCGTGGAAGTCGGTGCTGTTCTCGGAGAGGGGAATCACGGCGATGAAGCTGAAGAGGAAGGCCAGGAAATAGAGCACGCACTGGGCGAAGAGGAAATTGTTCATCGCCATTCTCCCAGGGCTGGGGGGGCGGCAGGGAGGCTGCGCAGAGACCCACCCCTGCAGGAGGGGAGGCCCATCATCCTCAGCCAGCCTTCCGCTCTAGGAGGGGATGCCCATCACCCTCAGCCAGCCTCCCACGCTGTGCAATCTGCCGGAGGAGGAGGGGGACACAAGAGACTGTTGGCTGAGCTTTCTATCCCCTTTTCTGTTTTGTAAACTACATTTCCCGTGATGCTCAGATAGCCTGGAGGCTGGCAGAGCATCAAGGGAAATGCAGTTCACAGAGGTGGAGTGCCAGCCAAGATTAGAGATCACTAGGACAGGCTCTCATCCAGAAAGATGGGCTTGAACAGCCAAGACCTGGAGTTCAGCACCATGGACAGCTCAGTGCTGACTATATATAGGAAATCACTGCTATATAATGCGGCGGGCACTGGAAGGTTTAAATCATAGCATTTATTTTGGAATTTTCATTTAAAACAAAAGATTGCAAGTCACAAAAAAAAGACAGCAAAAAAACAAACAAATGTGGTTTGTTTTATTAGATTTCAAATACAAATAATATATTTAGGCAGAATGCATGCATTTTGTGGAGATGATTTTTTTGCAAAGAAGCCTGTCTTTTAACAAACATGCAATATGAAGCTTTCGGTTGCATTTATAAAGTGCTAAATAAAGAATATTATACAAGTATATAAATTAACAGTACAGGTCGTGTGTGCACAATTTTTAATCTGTACCAGAGTTATTTTAGATTGTAAGCTATTTGGGACAAGGCTCTCTCCACCTAGTGTTCCCTTATATCAAACATGTTTTGTTAGAATTGTTTGTCTTCTCTTGTCTGTTGTACAGCATCCAAGAATATGTTGGTGCTATATAAATCATTGTAACTTGCTTGTACCTGTTTTAACCATCTAATCTATTGCCTGCAGTTAAAAGAACACTTTACGGTCAGGAACACAAACATGTATTCCTGACCCTATAGTGTTAACCCCCAGTTCTGTTAGAAAGAGTTTAACCCCTTAAGGACCAAACTTCTGGAATAAAAGGAAATCATGACATGTCACACGTCACGTGTCCTTAAAGGGTTAAACTGACCTTTTTTCCAGCATCACTTGGGTCCGCTGGCACTGGACCTATCCCCAATCCACCTCTTTGGCTGACACTGTTTTTTTTTTAAGGAACATTCACAAAAGTCCTCACAGGTTATTAGAAATTAAAACCTAAAATGTTATGAATGTACAGTGAGGGAAAAAAGTATTTGATCCCCTGCTGGTTTTGAACATGTGCCCACTGACCAAAAGAAATGATCAGTCTATAATTTTAATGGTAAGTATATTTTAATAGTGAGAGACAGAATAACACAAAATAAAACAGAATAACGCATGTCAAAAAAGTTCTAAATTGATTTGCATGTCAACTGCACTCCAGGGCCTTAACATGCTTCTTCTTGAGCCACTCGTTTGTTGCCTTGGCTGTGTGTTTTGGGTCATTGTCATGCTAGAATACCCATCCACGACCCATTTTCAATGCCCTGGCTGGGGTAAGGAGGTTTTCAACCAGGATTTGACGGTACACGGCCCCGTCCATCGTCCCTTTAATGCGGTGCAGTCATCTTGTCCCCTTAACAAAAAAACCACCCCCAAAGCATAATGTTTCCACCTCCATGTTTGACGGCGGGGATGGTGTTCTTTGGGGAAAAGGCAGCATTCCTCCTCTTCCAAACATGGCAAGTTGGAGTTGATGCCTAAGAGTTTGATTTTGGTCTCAACTGACCACAACACTTTCATCCAGTTCTGAATCATTCAGATGTTTCTTGGCAAACGTCAGACGGGCCTCTTCATGTGCTTTCTTGAGTAGGTGGACCTTGCGGGCACTGCAGGATTTCAGTCCTTTACGGTGTAGTGTGTTACCAATTGTTTTCTTGGTGACTATTGTCCCAGCTGCCTTGAGATCATTAACAAGATCCTCCAGACAGGCTAAGATATGTAAGTTTTCAAAATATTTCTAATATATTTTGGGAACTTCAAATATTGTGACAAAATTGAAAAATTCTATGCTTTCAGTTCAGCTATTTTGGCCTTAAATTTAAAGTTCACCTTCAATTCATGACAATTATCACTGTAGTGAATAATTGCCAGAGTAGATGTTCCAATTGGCATTTTTTAGTGGTTACAATGAGGCCACGATTGAAAGCTCTGTTTGTTTTGATATTTTTCATCTATAACTTTATAACAAACTGTGGAACTGAACTCTGTCCCCATATCCTCGCCCTACCTTTGGTGTGATCAATTCAGGACTCGTGGACAGCATGAACAGGATGTAGTCCCACACCGGAGTTTCATCTGTATGAGGGGCCCCCTCTGTGAGTACACAGTACCTGTGACTTAATGTTCTTAGACTGTTCTTCTCACTGTTAACATTTCATCCTTCGTATTTGACACATTGTTGCATTTATTTCAACTCAGCACCATTGAGGCACTCAATAGTGCTAAATTGCATCTTCAGTATATTTACCTTGTAAAGGTGATTTGCTATTTATTTTATTTTTATTTCTCTAGACATTTGAGATTAATTCTCAGGTTTAAAGATTTTGTAAGATTTCTGCTCCTTTTGGATTTGTGATGAAATTTTATTTTCATTTAAACAAAAGGGGTTGTTTACAGGAGCTTGCCAAAAATAATAATATTAAAAATACATTAAATATATATATATATAAAATACTTGAACATAATAAAAAAAAAACTAAATATTAACTGTGCCACGTCCTCCCCTAATCCTGCTCTGTGTGACTTCTATCTGTAGAAACAGAGGAAAAGTGAGAGGCATCCTTGTCTCCTCAATTTTAATCTATATGGGGAACCTGCTTCTATATGGCGACAATCTCACAATAACTATACATGCAATCAGGTCCCAAAGGTTTCTATTTGCAACATAAATATGTCTAATACCAAGATATGTGTTACAATATATATTTACATATTTTCTTTCTGCATTTTGCTATCACATTTTGCAAATGTACACCAATAATATGAATATAAATGTCTGGAACGCAATCGAAAGCCAAGTAGCCAGAAAGAAGATAAAAGAACAGAGAGCGTGGAAAGTTCTGAGTCATTTCAATCGGCTTTGTCTAAGGGTATAGGGACACTGGAATAACTGAATACTGTTCAAGATTGCCAAGGGAAATTATACCTTAGATCTGGGCTGGATCAACACTTTCTGGATGTGGTTATATCCCATGGGCATGCAAAGATGCATTGATGCATGTTATTTACACCTGAATCAGTACAGCAGAAGCATGCCTAAGAAACTGCCAGCAGCTTCAACAAGAAGTTATTTAATATTTACACGTTTGACTGTTATATGTACATATATTTTTATATTTAGTATCTTTCAATAAAAACATATTTATATACAAATTGCAGCAAGGTGTTTTTTCCTTGATTGAACTAGATTGATAGTTCTGTTTCCCAAGACACACAGCTAGCCGTTGGGTTTCGTTCATTGTAATAATGTATTTCTACTTCAAAGATTGGTTATCGTTTTTTGAATATAATGTAAAAATGTACATTGTGGTTGTGACGAGAGCAATCTCGCCACATTGCATTGGAGAAGCCTGGTTGCTCGCCTGTTGCCTTTGGATTATGGCCCCATGTTAAAAGGCTTGATTTTCCCCTGCAAAGACAAAAAAGCCGGGTCATTTGGTGCTTGCCCTGTTTGAGCAGTGATACCCCAGATAGCTATGCCATGGAGCCCATTCGTATAATGAAAGACTATGGAAAGACTTTGGCTCCATGGCAATTGAACTGTATGTGTGTGCTCTGAGCACCATTCAGTAATAATGTGCGCTCAGACCTAAGCTATCTGGGCATATGTTGCATGTCTGTATTTTATGTCATAAATTAAACCTTGTGTATTTTATTGTATTTTACTGTCTTTTTGCTGCCATGTGTTCAATGGAGTTTTGCCTCTGTCTTTGGAGATAATTGGATTACTTCTAATTATCTCCAGGATAGAAGACTCTGTGGAACTGGTTTTGGGCAGAAAAGCCATGCTTCCTGTGGTCACAAAGGACTACGATCTATCTTTTGAACCATTGGACCAATTTGTATGAATTTGACATATGTTTGTATTTGGAGTATGCTTATTATTTCATGTGAATGTGATGCATACTTTTCAAGTTATGAATAATGTGGAAAAATGGTATTTCTCTGATTGTGCTTAATTACATTACCCATTGTGTAAGGTAATTGAATCACAGGCAGAGGGGAGGAATTTGTGTGGGAGTGTCTGAGTGTATTGTATGTGTTTATTGGTTGTGTTCCAAAACCCTGTGGGCGGTACTAATGTGTAAGAATGTGTACATAAGCACAATAAACCCACAGCTCTGACTGTTCACTGCTTGACCCTCAGCACGGAGCTTTGTCTCGTTCTTGGGGGGATTTATTGTATGCTGTTCCAGTTTGACTGCTAGGAGTGTAAACCTATTCGTATGGTTTTTCCTATTCGGCTGCTTACAGCATTCATATGGTTTCCTGTTCGGCGGATTGGTGTTCTGCAGTAGCTGTGCCTGCATCTCTGGAAGGGGAAGATCTACTAAATGGCGGTTTAACCCTTTTATGTCTGGGGCTGCCGTTACAGTGGTCTTATCAAGAATGTAAAATTTTAAATCAACCATTGCAATACAGAAGGTCCCGTCATGAATATTTGTTGCAGAGGGCATTCAAATGTTAATCTGAGCCCAAACTGCAAATTAAAAGAAAAGATGTGATGCTTTGTTTATACATTTGTTACAGATTTAGTATTTTGTAGCAGATAAACAGAACACTGAGGGATGCTTTTCTGAGTTGGTTTTGTTTAAAGAGAGTGTCCTCACTGGCGATTCAGAAGTTTTGAGAGCAATATATAAGTTTAGTAAATTTACTTTCTAAAATCAAATTGAAGAGGCTCTCAGGGATAAGCCTGAATTTGTATAAAGTTATCTAACCATTTTATACTAAAATCTCACCAATGTCCTACATACACCGGGTTTCAAATTACCCTAAACTTTATTTTCCAGTCATTTTCTTAAATGTTTGCTTTACATTTTCCCATTCTTGCAATACATTGTCAGGAAGAGAGACCCAACACGCAGTATTTAAATAATGATATAGGAATAAACATGTACTGGGCCTGGCCTGGCTTAACATACAGAAATCAGGAATAGCGAGGTACAATAGCCGAGTCAAGGAGTCTAGACAGGAGAATAGCTAAGATCAGACTACAAAGACAATAAGAGATATATAATGCGCAATTGGGTACTAAAACAGAACCCCAACAGGGCAAGGTCCTGAGCCCTAGCAAACTATTTATAATATGGCTTTTTAAATAGGTAGCCATGCACTCAAAATGTTCTTACATTCAGATTTTCATGGTGTGTGATGCCATTGTCGTCATGATGTCGGTTCACACACACACAACGTGTCATAAATGTAGGTGGAATAACAGTAACCGGCATTTGTAACTCTGGAGGAAGATGTAGGACCACGAGGAAGTTCCTATACAGCCTGCAGTCCTCCCCCATGCTGTGTTCCAGCATGCAATATACAAGGAACCCTGACATATAGGCCCCTTCAGGCATAACCTACACAGGAGTAAAGGCACAAATAAAGCTACTTTTCAGACATTTCAATGTCGTATACATTATGTCTCAATGTCATATTTATTTTGGGACTTGCAGAAATTTGTAGAAGTTTGAAAGGTTATTCACACAGACAGAGATTCAGGGTTTTTACTGTGTTTTCCCTGAGATACTTTAATTTTCAGGATTGCCTCACAACCTAAAGGTCCCTCTTTAAAAACAGAGGTGAATAATAATACATTATTCTTCTGATTACCCCGTAGTTGCATTTCTATTAACTACTCCATGTATTTGGATTGTGATATGACTCTTGACAGCTAATCTATATATTGTTATACTGTTAATTTAATGACATTTTTATTATCCCAGCAGACATTCCTCAACAAAACACACAAGTAAAAATACAAGCAATAGTAGAAGTCCGTCCAATTACTAACTCGTTTTTAAGGGTGGAGTTATGTGGAAGTAGTGCCATTTGTAATTTTTATTTTATTTTTTTTCATTTTTTTTTCATGCAAGCGGTTTTATTAATTTTTTCGGTAACAGAAATGTTACAATCCGTTATTCAGAACATGGTGTATGTAGTCTCATAAGGCGCAATTCAGACATGTTCACAGACAATAAGGAATGGTCAATGATAGGTGCTTACCGTTAAGTACATTGGGACAAGATATTCGTAATACATAACTAACATTCTACATGGTATTCTCACAGATGAGGCATATGCCTGTATCTAAGATGGTGGTTATAATGAGACAACGAATTATATGTGTGCAGCGACGCTTCTCCGGTTTCTGCAATAATATTAAGGGCAGGTAGCAATTACCCTCATTCTTGAGCTAAGCCTAAATACGCCTAAGTATTAGTTATAAAGGCCCTATGTGTCCGGTTTAATAAAGTAATTTTAAGCCTTTTACAATCTGATGGTACCAGTTAATGCTTTAGTAGGCTAAGTTAGTAAGTAAATGATAACATATTTTGATTAACCTTCATAATAGAGCATATTTGCTGGAATCTTATGTCTGTATTTTCGATGTTAAAAAAAAAAAATGTAAACCAAGTAAACTAAACTTAAATAAAAAAATAAAAAATATATCAATGGCAGCCTCTGGGAGTGTATGCCAGTGGTGCATGAGTATCTAAGGGAGAGGTTGCGATGCAAAAAAAAATAAAAAATGGTAAGCCTCCCAGGGAGGCAGCTGCATATATAATA